GCTGTAAAATCAACTTGTGTCAGACTGAATTGTCTGCTGCTCTCGTCTCCATGTTGACAGCAGATGGCCTGCAGAGTAACATGTCAGCAGGGTACTTGCCGCCATGAAAAAATTGTTGTCAGCCAGCAGGAAGACTGAGGACAATATTAAAGGAGAGTGTGTATTGCTTTGCAATGAGTAAAGAGTGAATAAGTGAATGAGCAACTTGTGATGACTGTGTAAATGAAAAGCCTGATAAAGTTAAATGATTTTAAATATTGTATTTTGAAGGCTTTTACATTTCTAATGTGGCTACACAATCTTAATCATTTTCTATACAATTATTACAATAAAAGATAAATAAGTTACACTCCTGCAGGAAACTTAGCCTTTTTTAAATGTCTTTCTATATTTGATTAATCATAATTCCCATATAGGGCTTTGTAGGCTGCTCCCGTCATGCAGTAGTATCTGCAAAACAGCAACAAGGCTGTGTGAATCACTTTGAGATAGGCCATGTCATGTTTTCCTTAGAGGAAAGAAGCAGGCAAAGCTCTTGGCTCATGGATCGGGCTGTCAGGCCATCTGCTGTGCCATCCTGCAAATTCACTGTTTTATGAGATGCTTGGTTATCAAGAGATCTAATGTTTCCATTTATTTCATGCCACTGCTCATCTCCACACTCTGGATACCCACGAGGGGAATGTATATCCTCTTATGTACCATTAGTCATACTCAGGGGTCGACAACAATCAAGGACACAACATTAATGAGCTTCAAAAACCTTCCACACACACCTATCGTAGGGAGAAATGTGGATTTCAAGGGGTTTAAAAGCAAGTAAAATGACACTACAGAAACTGTGAGAGCGATTCAGAGGGCTTCAGGATGCTTTCACATTGAATCTATGGAAAGGTGTGAGTTCAAATCGATGGCAGAGAAAGAGGGAAATAAATCCGGACTGGTCATCAGCACAGTGGTGTGGTGTTCAGCACCGTTGCCTCTGAGCAAGAGGGTTCCCGGTTCGAGTCCCCTCCCCCCACCCCCCCAAAACCAAGTAGTGAAGAAAATGAATGGATGGAAAAATCAGAGAAAAATCTGTATGCAGAGAAAAAGGGTACAGAATTAAGAGATTGAAATAGCTGTGGGATTAGGGTGTGGGTTTTAATGATGGAAATGGGAAAGCTGTGAACAGAGTCTGACAAATTCTCCCTGGCCCTCTTTCCTCCTCTCTGCCTCTCTCCACAGCATGTGTCTCTTGCTGATTGCATGGCCAGCCTCCAGGGAAATATGGCTCTGCTGTACATTAAACTAAACCTGGTTTGTTAGAAAGACGTTTTATGTGCAACAACATGTTTATATAACACAAGCTGACATAGATGGACTGGATGTCCAATGCTGCCCATAAGTACGCACAGTGTACACTCACATTCATATCTGGCAGACTGTTAATAACAGCATTAAGGTAATGGCTTGGTGTAAAATCCCTGGATTGTGTGATTTTAGGGGATCAGAATTCCAAAATAACCTGAGCTGCATGATGAGGTTAGCACGTGGAAATATGTGTAATCACTCACACAGGAACTCTTATTAATAATGGACTCTGACTTTATCTACTTTGCTTGGTGAGCTTCTAGTTTCCTACAGAACAACTTCTGTGCTGTGGAACTGAAAGATGTAAAACCCAGGTTGACTTACTGACTCTAGCCATACAAAACAAAGTCTCCTCACAGTAGTGTACTGGACCGTCAAACATTGTAACGCCATCATTTACGAATCTACGCTTGTATTATATAGCCTCATTCCAAATGTGTCTAATTTCTCCAAAGTCTACTTGTCATTAACACATACAGTGTGTGCTCTTGGAGAAAGTTTGTCTTTGAGGGTGAAACTCATCCAGACTACTGAAAATCTAAAATATCTCACTACCCTCACTCAGCTTCGTATTCTAAAAGGATCACTCTCAGCTCCGCTTTAATTGTCAGGAGAGCTGACTGTACTGAAGATAACTCATGCCCTGAAGAAATTAGATGGTAATGTATTTCTGGCCGTTTGAAGGAAAACTGCAAGGTGCTCCTTCATGCAAATGCATGGGGGCCCATCCCGTCACAGAAAAGGAAAGAAAATGATGCATTTGCTAATCAAAGATGCAACACTTTGCCATATTTGTGGCAGATGTCCTTTTTTCGATGAGCTCAGAAAACCTGACGTAAACATATCTCCTTTTGTTAATGTATCCTCTCAACAGGTGAGTCCTTGAGTCTAACGTAATACCATTTTAATGGGTGAGACATTGCCGGAAGTGATCTAAGACTTTACTTTGTACCCAGCATCTATAAACACAATCAATACAAACTTCTGGAAGTTACTTTTAAGAGAAGTTTAAGAGAAGTTACTCGTGGTATTGAGCATCTCTGTCCAGTGGTGATTTCTGTTGGTAAAATCTTTTGTGTGATCTCGCTTACTAGAATATTCTGTCAAAGAATGTCTTTATGAGGGTCTTGGCTCCAGCAGATTGCTTTACCTCTCCATTTCAAAGGACAAGTATTCCCTTTGTTGAATGGGAAAGTCTTGAGACTTCAGATATCATATTCTCATAGAGCATCTGTAATAAGTCAAAGGGATGGCATCAGCCAGATGTGACAAAAACGGACAAAGGTTGAAAGAGAATTGAGATAGTTTTTTTCTTCCACTGCTTGTGAAAAAGACTAAATGCGAATGATGGAGATTTTTGTTTTGGGAGACCTATTTTGTCCAATTCAAACACAGCAGAGCGCGCTGCATCTGCAACATTAAATGAGAGTTTTAAATCTGAGAGACTTCTTTCAATCGTCTTCATCCTTCATGACTCACACACAGTCAAATGACTCTCCTCCAAATTCCGGGAGCTGGCCAACATACTGTCGCTCTCCAAGCTGATGAAAAATATCAGAAAAAAGCTGATAGAGGCAATACTTTCTAATGAGCTGCAAAGTGAAATCTTTTTCTATTGATTTGCCAGAGATCTGCAGCCAAATAGAAAAGGCCCGAGTGTTATATATTGTTGTGAAACATTTTAGTTAAGACTGTCTGGATGGCATAATTGCCATCAACGCTTAGAGGAAGAGGAGTGGTAAGAGGAGTGGCATGCTGTTAAGACACTCGTTAGGATTGCGACAGACCCTAATCTTCTGCAAATCCTCTTCTCAGAGTAGGAGGATATATGTATGGCTCCTCAGAGGTTACCAGTGTTACCAGCCCTATAAAAACTATCATTTGTCTGGTCATCAGACATGGTCAAGTGGCTTTAGCCAACAACTGAGGATTACCACCTTAACTTCAGTTCTATCCAGTGAACATGTGAAACTGAGAAGCATCAGGCTGAAAGCTGATAGAGGCTTAAGGAAGAGACAACATCATCAGGACTCAATAGAGATGTCACATTATGAGCTAAAAGAAAGGCTGGAGGTTCACTCTGCACAGGTCAAATTCATCATAAAAACTGATGAATAAAGAACATGTAAAAAAAATCTTCAAAGCTTTGTTCAGAGAGAAAATACTCTGTTGTAAATGAGGAAGTGAAATAGAATGTGATTGGAAGTGAGGTCTGTGTGCAGTGCTTGTTACTCCCCAAGCTTTTTATTGAACCAAAATTATACATAGATGCTTTTGTTAAACACAACAAAACGGCAATTTGACGGTCTCCTCTCTGAGGCTGGTGGAACGTGAAGGGAATAAATTAAAATGATTGAGTATTCTCTGAGTCAATTGAAAATGGAAAAAGTACATAAAGAAAAAAAAAGATTATTTTGAAAATAAGAATGCTACAGTGGTGGGCAAGGACGCATGATACTGAACAAAAACAAAACGCTCTTTCTTCCACTCATTTTGTTGCCATGGTGAAACATTTCATTGCAGGTTATAGTGATGACACATTTGAGATGAATCCACACAGAGGCTAGAACCGCTCTATGTCAACCCCAGTTTGCACTTGCCATCTATTTCCCTAAACCTAACCAAGCGCAAACTATGAGCTGCAGTATAGCCCTCCCAAACATTAACCTACAGTAAAACTAAGATAAACCAACCTTGCTAAACCATGCTCTTTTGGTTTAATCGCTACATCGTGGCCTTTTGTGGGTTTTCATAACTTGTATGTGTATGTGTATATTTTAATGTTGTAACACTTAGATTTTTAGATGGCTTTGATCACTAAAAGCACAAAGCTTTACCTGTTAGATGTTTAGCAGTGAGGTAAATTGGTAGGTTAGGACTTCTGAACATATTAATGGAAAGATTTAGGTTTTCCCCTTCATTATATAAGGACTACTTTATCACATTTTTCCCACAATGAGGACAAAGAATCAGACGGACAACTTGTAATTCATTAGTGAAGCTGGATGAGCATTTTATGCAGAGCAGATAGAGGAACAAATGGTTCTGTGCATTGGTTCATGTAGTCATTACTGTCATTATTATTCCTCACTCTGGCCGGCTGTGATTACCCGCTCCGCTTCCTGGTAGCCTCCATTCTGCCTCAGAATTCTTTCTTTTCCTTGCTGGAAGATAATAAGAAAATGAAGCAAACTGTGCAGTTTCTGTATGAGGGGAACAGAAAGCCTTTGAAGTCATGTGGTTAATATTGATGAAGTGAGATAGTTAAGATTAGCAGCAGAAATTTCACTGCTTTCCTTTATTTTGCATCATCAAATTCAAATGTGTAAAGCTTCACCCAAAACTTTTAATAGTGGACATTGGACAGGGAGAAGAGCACGAATGTCTAATTACTGTCATTACAGAAATTAATTGAGTGTTAAGAAAAGTATTAAAAACATTATTTAAACAAATTTGTGTAACAAATCATCTATATGGGTATGTTGGTTTCTAATGGGGAGAAAGATATCTGTGATTTGTGTGATATTAAGTTTGTGGGATTTCTAGACAAGCTCAGCCTACGCACTACACATGAAGCTGGTTCTGCTGATATTCAAAAGCTATTAGAGGTCTAAACAAACAAAACTGCGCTGCAATAGCAAAGCTCTTTATGCATTGTACTTCTTGAGTAAGTCACTCTGCCAGTGCCTCTTGCGATCTGGAAACACTTTGGGCAAACTGATCTTTTTGAAGTCCTCAATGCATTTTTTCAGATCCTCTTCCAGCATTTTCTTTTCCTCCTCTTCCTCTTCCGTTCCAGGTGGGGGGCCGCCATTCTCCCTGACTGTGGTCCGAGGAAGTGTCTTTAGGTTGAGCGTGGTGGGACGCAGGGGGCTCTGAGCGGGGGACGGCGTGGCCGGCGGAGGAGGGCTGGAGGTAGAAGAAGATTTGGACAACAAAGGAAGTGGAGGAAGAATTGGGGGTGAAGGAAGTGGAAGGTCAGGTATGTCTGGAAGAGGAGGAGGAGGAGGAGGCAGTAGAGGAGGAGGGAGGGATTGTTTAACGTTCAGGGTTGTGCTGCATCCTGTTTCTGGAAGGCTTTTAGTTCGACCAGTGCTGCCTAGGTCCACTGTGGCTGATTCGGTATGAGAAGGAGCTGGCGGAGTGGTTTCCACTTCACTGGGAGAAGGGAGGTTGAGGGTCGTTGTCGTGGAAATCCCTGATGAGTTTCCTGCAGAGGAAAGAGAGTCTGCTTGAGTGAAAGGACTATAATGAGTAAAAAACATGTTGTTTTCTTGCTGAGAGCTTGTTATATTTCGCATAAAGAGAGCCAACTAAACAACTACATTTTAACTTCTGGTGTATAGCTTTCCAACCTGTCAAAACTAAAAAGAGCAAAGCCAAGCTCACCACTTTCTGGTGACCATTTCATCTTGTTAGTGATTTATGACTGCCACAGAGAGAGGGACCTGAATTCTGATTCTTGGATTTTGTCTCAGAGAGGAGAAATATAAACACATTCTGCACTGAGGGCGTGTAGCAGAACTGAAGAAGCAGATTTGAACAGAGAAACTTGCTTAGAATTAAGAAAACAAATGAGAGATGAAGGAGAAGAGAGTTTGATTTAATTTTCCAATTCTCCTTCACATGTGCTTTGATGCGTAACAAATTAAAAGGAAAACTGTCCCTGACTGGACGGTGTGAAGCCTCCTGACCAAAGCCTGACCAACCCTTTTCACGGCATGTTGATTTTTCATTTCATCCTTGTGTTGGAACGGGGGATGCTAGTGTGGCCGCTCAGAATGGAGGCAGGAGCTTGAGTACAGTCTGTAACTCATGGTATCTGAGAGTCCAGCTGCATTCTCTCTCTTTGAATAGTGTAGGAACCAGTGAGGAAGTAATAAGCCCCTGGCTCTCCTCTGATCAAAGATCCAGTCGGATGACACATGTCGACCTTATACCAAATGTATATCAATATACATTTTTCTGCATTCTGTTTTAGCAATTTATAATAATTTAATTATTTTTATTTTATTAGACTGCTTGCTGTGCTTTACTAAAGATCAGATTTTTAAAAACCTATTGTCAAACTTGATTCTCTGAAGTTCTGAAGCTATCTATATGAGTTTGGATACAGCCTTAGACCAAGTGATAATGATAGCCTTACATGTGGAGTGTTCATGCAGCGCTACAGAGTTTGAGTCACGCAATATTAATTTCTGTGTGAAGCCCTCACAGTACAGCGCTCGCCGCTTAGTTCATGAAAATACATATGAGCGGCTAATCTCCGTCACATGCTTAAGTGCATGCTCGCGCAGAGATAGAATTGGCCACAAACAGATGAGGAGACCACAATCCAAATAAGCAAACACACAAGGACCTCCTTTCCTTCAGCAGGACTCGCCAACACATCAACCTGTCTTACATAACAGGAAAAGCTGCTTGGATCCAGCAGAAGTGTTGCTGATAATTCTCTCTGTGACGAGGATTTCCAAACACCTGCAAATGACAGGCTGCTTAAAAGTTAGCGGGTCTTCTGTGTGTGTTCAAGCATGCATGTGTAAACATTATAAACAGTTATGTGCATTGCAACTCTGGGTGTGTAATTGTATTGGAAAGAGGGATACATAATAACGGAGAGGAAATAAGAATATTCTGGGGAATGAGGGTTTGGAGGAAGGATGTTCTCCACTATGTGTGTTTGGTGCATTTACTGTCTCTCATAATGAATACATGTGTTTGAGAGCTGCCTGAACGTGGGAGTATGGGGGCTTAAACAGTGTTGGAAGAATAATCCACTGGGGGATGGGCTCTGTGCTTTCCTCCACTGTTAAGCCTTATGGAGGAGAACGGCTAAAGAGTGTACTCAGCTCCTTTCCCTGGGCCACTTCTCCTGGGATCTACAAGCAAAAGCTTGAGCGTTTCCACAAACAGCCTCTCTCCTTCTTTCTCTCCATTTCTTTCAGCCTCTCCCATCTGTTTAGAGAGACACATCCCTTCATTGCCATCATTACTGCCACTAGAAACTCCAGTGTGTCAATGTTGCAAGGGTTTAGTGCCTCAGTGTTTCGCAATCCTTTAACCTAAATCTTTCCCAAAGCACACACTGTTTCAAATTCAATAAAACCGTAAAATCCTGCAATGAGGAAAAAGAAAAGTTATATCTCATTGATTCTTTGGTCTCATGAGTTTAATAGCACTAACCAATCTAGGATGGTATGGTCCTCTCTGTTGTAAAATAAATGTGTATCAGTCATGTACTTCTGATCTGATACCCAACAACGGTTTTATTATTGTTAATATTATCATATCACGTTTTACAAAGTTTTGGGGTCCAATTTGATAAGAAAAGTGAAGACTTACTTCAGACTTTAAATGCTATAAAGCTAACAAAAGGCAATAACTTTCATCAATCAGCACAGAATAGCAAACCAATGGTCAGTATATTGTTACTTGAGTTTGGTTTAAAAGAATCTTGACTTTTGCAACTTACCTTGTATGTTCTTGGGATAAAGAAAGTGTTACCCATGAAAACGACTTCAAACAGTTATTTACTTTTTGGAAAGAAGGCAACCCAGTTTGATTTGATTCAAGTCCATATTCAGTAAGTGGAAATCATGAAAGGAAGACCCAATATTTCAGCATTGCCAACAACATCAAACATCACCAAAAGTACAGTAACAAAGTAGTGATCACTGAACAGTAATTATAAATGTCGTTGTATAGACTTTTCAAAGATCAGATTTTTTAAAATCATACATGTACATTAAACAACAGTTTCTGTAATTCTTCTCCACCAATTGAGCTCTTGCTTGGCAGAATGCAGTTTGGTTGAGCATGAGCACCTCTTAGGGGAATGTTCAGTACTATAGATATGCTATAGTAGTCTTACAAGCAGAGGCTGCCAGATAATGCCTACTGAAGACTTAAGGCTGTGCAGTGGGGCATTGGCAGGATATGATCTTGTAAGAGGAAGTCGAGAGAAAGTGAAGCACACAGAGGCAGAGCAGTGTCTGCAGCCAGGACTTCTCCCCAAGCCATAGGCTAGCGCAGTGCGGTCAAATGTACTTTTTGTTTTTGCCAACTTACATTAAAAAACATTGATCAGCTAGATTTGACAAAAATCTAGCCCACAAAATGAAGAGATTACAAAACTGGCATGAAACTTGCCTCATCAACAAATTATTGAAACAGTTTGTTAAGATGCTTCTGCTGCACCATGTTTCTTCTACTTCATCCTCACACCCTAAGCAGAGGATTTAGGGAATAGAATCACATCTTATTATCTTTGCTGATTCACTGTTTTGTTCACACTTGCTTAAACATGTTTTCTATCCATCCATCCATTACCACCACCAGTCCATCAAAGGGCCACACAAAGATGAACAACCATGCACACTCACTCCCAAGGGGAATTTGGAATGTAACATCAACCTAAAATGCAGGTTTTTGGAAGAGGACAACCCTGAGAGAACCCACGCAGAGACAGACACAGAACATGCAAACTCCACACAGAAAGATCCTGGGTCCTACGGGGGCTTGAACCAAGAACTCTCTTGCTGTGAGGCGACCGTGCTAACCACCTCACCACCCACACGTTTTTATAATGGTTATGAACTAATTTGGCTGACTGAACAGAGGTTGAATTGTTAGCCAAACATGGAAAAACAACTTTTGCATTTGCTGTAATAAAAATGTTTTAAAAACACTGAAAGGTGGACTTAATTCAAAACAGAATTTCATTGAGGTAACACCTATGAAAAGGACGTGTAGAAGTACAGGAAATTCCTGAAGCTACGTCGAGGATTTGCTTTCCGTGGACCACTAAACCGCAAAGTCCTTCATCCTAAAATATCTAAATGTGTTGGAGTCTGTTTGTTAAGAAGGAGATTTACCATGACAGCAGGTGATGTGTTGCACTAAACCCTGCAAGCAGTTCAGACTTCTGCTGGTCATAGCCAAGCCCTCACAGCTGTGGCTAATTCAATTTCATGTCAATGCAGTTTATGAAGCCTGCACACAAGCCGATGTTCATCGCACGGGACAGACTGAAGTCGGCCGCGGGAACCAGGGTATACTTTCAAATTCTGATCTTGTTTATGTATTTTGTTGTGTCAATTTAAAATATTTTTTCAAATATGTCTAAAAATGAAATCACAGCCAGTTACATGGACATTTTGAAGCTTCAGAGTAATTCAAGCACGTCTTAAATACCAAATATTTTTTGCAAGAATGTGACTGCTGCTATGTAAAGAATTACCTGGAGTATGACCCGGTCAGCCAGCTTGTAGGAATATTCATTTTCAATTCACCATAGCCTCTAGCAGGTATATTCATTCCAGGATGCCGCAAACATGAGGATATTCATGTCTCCATGGTAACGCCACAATGACATGTAAGAGCCAGAGCCTCTTAAATGCACAGCAAAGTCGCTGTGACTGGAAGTGGCCTTTTTCATGTGTTTTTTTTTTTTTTAAGGGAGCCCATTTGCACAGTTGTGGCATTTGCATGTCTTATTCCTGATTGAAGCGTATTCAGCTCAAACTCACCACTCTGTTTCGTGAAATGATGTGTATGGTGTGAAATGACAGTGTAAGTCTCACCACCTACAGTTTTCTCATTCATTGTCTCTTCTCACTCATTTCCACTAAGCAAATACATATGGGCGGCGCAATGAGACGTCGTTTTTCTGTATTCCTGAGTAACTTGACATGCTGGTGCATAAGCACAGTTGCTCATATCAGAAAAATCTCTGGAGTGCACTCACAAGTCTCCAAGCAATTACAAATCTGTCATTCCACATGATGTAGAGGAAATATCTGACATTAACAGCTGGAGACCAGAGAGCTGCTGCCACGTATGAGAAGCTGAAAAGTGACTGAAATTTTGGGGCAAGACAGACATTAATAACAGATGAGATTTTATTTTATTTTCTCAACCTTGTACACTTTTATATGTATTATTTTAGTGCCTTGTTTTAATCACCTAAAACACATGTGTGCTCTTCATCTTTTCCTTTAAAGACACCCTGATCTGCTGTTTGGCTCCCAGAGCTCATGACCAGACTGCCACCAAACTGTCTGTCCAGCCCCCCTGCTGACCGCTTCAGCTTTCCTGGGTGCTCTCCGCCATAGTGCAGCCATGCCCTGAACTGCAACAACAAGGACAAGCTCGACTGTTCAGATTACTGATAATTAGAGGGGCAGATTAGAGCCCAAGTCTCCAGATGGC